TCCGTGGACTCGCGCAACCATTACCCTTCGTGGGTGGAGCCCTCCGTGGACTCGCGCAACCGTTACCCTTCGTGGGTTGAAGTCTCCATCAACATGGATGTAGGATAGCACCACCTATCCAAACCACGGGAAAAACATTCGTGTCTCCAATTGCGTTTGAATTCTCCAAACCCTTCCCTTTACATTCTTGCAAGTTGCATGCTTTACTTTCCGCTGCCAATATACTCTTTGCATGCTTGCTTGAATTGTGTGATGATTGCTTGACTTGTCCTACAATAGCTCAAATCTGCCAAGAACTAAAATTGGGAAAAGGTTAAGTTTTTATTTGGTCAAGTAGTCTAATCACCCCCCTCTAGACATACTTTCGATCCTACACCTCTCCCTGGGAGGGGGCGACTCGACTTCTTCTCCATCACTTGAGTCGTCGCTTCCTCCATCCCCTTCACCATCGGAAGTCCACTCGCCACTGTCGCCACCACTCGCCTCGCCTTCCAGAGCTTGCTCTTGCTCCCCGTTGGGCATTGAATACATTTCAATAATGGCCTGAAAGAAAACAGGGAGAACAAAGTCAGTCGATGCCATATAGGCAGCTGCGCGGGTGAATTCAGATTACAAGCAAAAACTCAGAATCAGACCTGCTCTGGTGCATGAGACTGGTCGAATGGGGGAACTCTCCTGGCTCCCCTAGGATTGTCCTTGTTCCCGGTAATGCCCGACAGCCACTTCTCCAGTGTGTCATCGTCGACCTCCTCCGGATGGATCTGAGTGGAGTCTTCAAGACCCGAATACATCCACATCGGATGGTCTCGAGCTTGAAGAGGTTGGATGCGCCGCTGAAGGAAGACCTCCAAGAGATCCATACCAGTGACCCCGTCACGAATAAGCTGGACCACTCGATCGACCAACACCTTCACGTGCACCTTCTCCTCCGGGAGTACCTTCAAAGGGGAGGGTTTCTCCACTCGGTCCATGGTAAAGGGAGGGAGTCCAGTCGATTGCCCTGGCGTTGACTGGTCTTTACATTAAAACCAGGTCAACTGCCATCCGCGAACTGAGTCAGGAAGAATCATGGCCGGAAAGGAGCTTTTCCCTCTCGTCTGGATGCCAAGACCCCCACACATCTGGATCACTTGGGTCCTCTCGTCACTCGGATTAGCCTTTTTCACTGTCTGGGAGCGACAAGTGAAAATATGCTTGAAAAGACCCCAGTGAGGCCGGCAACCCAGGAAATTCTCACACAAAGAAATGAAAGCGGCGAGATAAATGATTGAGTTGGGGGTAAAATGGTGGAGTTGTGCCCCAAAGAAGTCCAGAAACCCTCGAAAGAAAGGGTGAGGAGGCAAGGAAAATCCACGGTCGACATGGGTGGCAAGAAGAACACGCTCACCCTCCCAAGGTTGCGGCTCAGATTCCTTCCCCGGAAGCCGCGCCGAGTCATAGGGGATCAGCCCCCCTTCGGCCAGGTCGTCGAGGTCTTCTTGGGTGATCCTCGAGTGGATCCAGTCGCCCTGGATCCAGCCCTTCGGCAGGCCGGTCCGCGAGGAAGATCCGCCCCGGCTGGTCGCCTTCCCCTTCGACCTCGCCGTCGCCTTCTTTGCCCGCTCCAGAGCCGCCGTCTTCTCCTTCCCCATTGTCGCCGGCGAGACGCGTACGGAGCGGTGATGCTGGGGCGAGAACAAGCGCAGCGGAGGGGCGTGAAGAGGAGAAGAGGAAATGGGAACGCACTGTTCGGGAGACTCCGGTCCAACGCCTTATATGAGGCCGCCTCCGAGTGGCTGACGGGTAGGCCCAGGTGGCTCTGTCAAATCCCGTAACGATTGCGCGCGCGATACATGGCGAAAAAGGTGGCGCGGGGATCAAGGCGGCTCTGCTCTATCCCATCCGATTACTGCGGCCTCCCCCGTCCCGCGCGCTTCCCAAAATTCGGATCCCATGAAATCTGTGGGCAGCAAACAACTTGTCAGACCAAAGATCTCCTCCGCACCGTCACTCGGAGCCTTACAAGTAAAGAAACTCACTCGACGAAGAATTGAGAATGGATCAAGGCGACTGAAAAGGAAGTTGCTGTCATCACTCAGGTCCGTTGATCCGAAACAAGATATGCTCACGGCATGAAAAACGAGTCGGACAAGGTCTCAACTCCTTCCCCACTCAAACCTCGATCCATTCGGGGGCTAATGATGAAGCTATGTACCTAGGGTAGGGTCATGGACCTGTCCTAACTGCCCTACCCAAGGACATCTCTAGAAGAAATAACCTTTCAATCGACTTGGAGGTGTTCCACTCGACAGACTCGAAGACACTCGACCAAGAAGCAATCACTCGACCAAGATCCAATCACTCGACGGCCAGGAGACCTAAAGTCACTCCGCACGCTAACGGTCGGTCATTAAGTAGCTTTTATGGTCATCATAGCACTTTATTACTAGCGTTACCAGTAACACCCTGCCTTAATATACATTGAACCCTTTGTAACGTGGGCTGGTCGGGGTCCTGGCGCACTCTATATAAGCCACCCCCCTCCTCCGAGACAAGGGTTCGCACGCCTGTAATTGATACTCTCATAATCCAGTCGACCGCCTCCGGGCTCCGAGACGTAGGGCTATTACTTCCTCCAAGAAGGGCCTGGACTCGTAAACCTTGCGTTCTTACAACTTCTCCATAGCTAAGATCTTGCCTCTCCATACTTACCCCCCTACTTCACTGTCAGACTTAGAACCACGACATCTGATACATCGGGTAGGCGTGGGCATGAGAGCTGGGCCGGGGGCCAAGAACCCCGGCGGAGTTGGGCGGCACCCATCCAGGTCGAGGCAGGGGGAGCGCCATCCCGTATGGAGTGAAGTAGCCCATGAATGGAGCGGGTTGCGACGGGGGGCCGCGGCCTCCAGAGTCGTGGCGGCCACGCCCGCGCCCACGTCCACGCCCACGGCCACGGTCGGTGCCGTCGCCGCGGTCACCACGGCCGCGGGTCTGCTGCGGGGGCGGAGCCGGAGCCTGGGAGCGATCGGAGCCGCGATCGCTCGAGCGGTCACCGCAATCGCCGTGAGGGCGCGCGCCCGAGCCAGATGGGTCGCCACCGGAAGGAGGGACGCCAGGGAGAGCGAACGCCGAGGCGCTCTCGTCAGCAGCGCGCTGGGCCTGGGACTCCTCCGCTAGGACGACACGGGAGAGAACAGTGTCGAAGGGCATGGTGGATGCCTGGTCGCCGAGGACGACGCGGATGGTGTCGAGCCGCTTGTCGAGGCCATGAAGAAATTGGGTGGTGAGATCCACCTCTTTGACGGCGTGGTCGATGTCGGCGAGGCCGTCAGTGAGCAGCTTCAGGCGACGGGCGTACTCGGTGACGGAGAGATCGCCCTGCTTCAAGTTGCGGTACTGGCGGTTTGAGGAGCATGAACCGCGCAGCCCGATTGGCGAGGAAGAAGTCCTGGATCTTGGTCCAGAGGGCATAGGTGGTGGTGGCGCCGACGACGTGGTCGATGAGGGGATCGGCGAGGGTGGCGTAGATCCAGAGCACGACATGGGCGTCCAGCTCAAGGTACTGGGCGTCGGCGTTGGGTGGTGGGGGGTGCTCGATGAGGTAAGAAACGCCATAGCGAACGAGAACGAGAAGGAAGAAAGATTTCCATTTGTGATAGTTGTGGTCCGCCGGATTGAGGAGAAACTTGATATGATTGGTGATATGGTCGAAGAAGATGGGGTTGCGCGGGGCCGGGGCGGGTGGCGCAGAGGGTGAGGACGTGAAGAGAGGGGCAAACTGAGAGGGACCGGTGCTGCCAGAGGCGCCGGAGAAGATGAACGGGGTGGTGCCCGGCGAGGTCGCCAAGGAGGTGGCCGGGGCAGTCGCCGAGGACGAGAGGGAGCCCGGCGAGGTCGCGGCGTCGGAGGCGGCGGAGGAGGAGCCGGGCGGAGTCATGGCGACAGAGTAGGAGGGCCTGGTACCTGATACCAAGTTGGAGGATCAAATCACTCTCGTATATTGATCAAGTGTTACAACAGAGGTTTATATACACCGGGCGCTGCCCGAGTCATAAGGCACGCAGGCCTGTGATCCTAAATACATGGGCATGCAAGCCAACACGTTACAACACAACTCAACAATATAACTTCACCTGAATACCTGATATCCATAAAGTGCAGCCCTGCTATATTTTTATGCAGAATACCTGAGGTGTTGCAAATAATATCATGTGCTAGTAATCCTACAGGCTAGTAATACGCTGATTCACTAGTAAGTTTATTTATATCTACCTGTATGTAATATTTTCTTGTTTCCTGGCGCTGTAGTGTTACCTCATATGTCTGACTGCTTCAGTTTCAGTTAAGCCAAATGAGTGCTCAAAATTTTGCAAAATCTTCTCGAGTTCTAAACCTGGCCGGGAGTTCGGCAAGAGGGGAGCACGAAGGGGTGTTTGATCCCTATTAGCTGTGACTTTTATATAAGGTGCCTTCAGCGTCATGTTCAAAGATAGATATTGCCTGTTGGCAGTTTTCAGCTCTGAATTTTGAATCACTCGTATGATCTGTTCCCATAATCAGGCCACTGAAATGGATACTTTTGACGCCTCGATTCTCAAGTTCACTTCTTCAGTAGAGGCGCTCTACGGACAGTATAAAATGCCTAACATGCTAATTCAAATACTCTTTGATGCAAAATAAAAATGTCGAAGACGAAGGACAGCCAAAACATTACATTTGGCGGACTTGTACAATACATCTTGGATATACATTCGTTAACTTTGGTTATTTTTCTGGTACTTTCGGTTGAACCAAATGATCGAGTATACGCTATGGGCAATACATACTACTGAATTTCCATCCAGACTATAACTTTCTCCAACCTCCCAGTAAAGAACACATGAGTAGGCACTCCGTACGCCACAAGCCTGACGCAAAGGCATGGAGCCCTCTTGTGCTTAATTTTGTGTGACACAACCTTGTTTCTCATTGGAAAATTTACGTTTCCACATCTCGCTTAGGTTCGGTTTCAGTAACACTCAAATGGACAGGCCACCATCAACTGGGAGCACCTGCACTTGCAGAATTAAACAAGTCAAGTCTTCAAGTACACTAACACATAACTATGTTAATACGTCGGGTCCATATGAAGGACATATCTGAAAACCATTTCTACTTGCCTGCCCGGTCATGTAGCTTGCAGCCGGATGAACAGCCAAGAACTCCACCAGTCCAGCAATCTCCTCTGGCTTGCCGAATCGTCCTGAAGTTTCCATCAGCAAGAAAAGGCAGTAAAACCAAAACGAAAACGCTGTTTCATCTTTGGTGCCATTGCAAGATTTTTTTTTTGGAGATAGCGAACCCGCTCATGCCAAGCGGTGTGTCATTGCAAGAGTTATGGGCGGATGCTTATAACCGGAAACTCTATATTCCATCTTCTGTTCTGATTCATATGGAATTTAGCCAATGCAGATTATTACTACCACTACTACTTACCTAGTGGTATTGTCTCGAGCGCCTTTCGTTCGATGTCGTCGCCTAGTTTTGCGGTCATGTCAGACGCGACCCAGCCCGGGGAAACTGCATTCACCTGCAAAACCAACCAGGCAAAATGTCAGACAAGCTTAATATTCAAATAAGGAGCAGCACTTTAATCAAGATATGCTTATTCTAGGCTGCATTGGCTGCTACTTGCATTTATGTTTCTGCCACCGTATTCCCGGGCCATGGCCTTGGTCAATCCAATCACCCCGGCCTTGGCGGCGCAGTAGTTGGCCTGGCCAATGTTGCCGATCATCCCGGCAACTGAGGCGATGTTGATGATTCTTCCCTGAGCAATTAACCAGTGAAAAAACTGTACCAACAAATTATGTCTCTGATCATATAACAAAGACGCTTCTAAGAATAGAAACGGCACATAGTCAACTAATACTCTGTACCTTCTTCCTCTTCATCATCACTGCCGCCGCAGCCTGAAACAAGATTTTTAAAGCATATTTGATGCCCATTACGGAGGCCAAGTGAACAGCACATCTCACCTGGGCGCAGAGGTAAACACCGGTAAGGTTTACGTCCACTACTTCCTGCCACTGCGCCTTCTTCATCCGCATTAGCAGAGCATCTCGCGTGATCCCTGCCCACCAAGAATGGCCCCCAAGCCATCAAAACCCACTGTCAAGGCGATACAAATGCCAACTTACGTAGTCAGTTGTGCAGGGGAAGGCAGACAGAGAGATGAAAACAAAGGAGAACCTGCATTGTTCACCATCACGTCCAGCGTTCCCCAAGTATCAATTACCTGAGCCAACATCCAACATCATGTATAAAGTACGCACTCACTCGGAGAATTGTCTGTTATTGTTCTGCCTAGAGTAATTAACTGATGTCAACTCACCGCTCTCATCATGGTTTCAACCTCGGCTTCAATGGAGACATCGGCTGAAAAGGAGATGGCAGTGCCACCGGACTCCATGATCTGAATGGATCATGATATGTGTTTGTGTGGCAGAAGGAAGACAAGCATGGCATGAAAAGTATTCGATGAGGTAAAATGCACTTGTATGCGAGCAACTGTATCATACATTGGGTCGGCTAGAAGGCTAGAAGGAGCTATTTTACTCACCTCTCTGCACACTTCTTCAGCTTCCATGCCTGACTTGGCATAGTTCACAACTACCTTAAACAAACAAAAGATGATGTTCAGTACAGTTCCAATGAAACCACAGCTCAACTAGCCTTACAATTATACAATTTCCATGCTTCTTTGAAGGAATAGTACTTCACTCTGTTTTTTCATTTGATTGCCCATACTTATAAGTATTTACCTTGCACCCTGCTTTGCCAAGAGCCACAGCTATCGCTCGCCCAATCCCCCTCGATGCTCCGGTAACCACTGCAACTGGGGCTTGAGGCTGTGCCAAGCCATCCATGCTCACTCCAGCCATAGCTTTAACCTGACCATGCCTTATAGCTACAGAAAGACAATTCCTTCCGTCAGAAAGACCACCTAATTAAGGAGACCGATACAGAGTATACCACTCAGATATGATTTGATCAATTGCCTGATGAAATGAGAGTGCCCGGTCGATGATATCGCTGGAACCTGCAGCTGTGGCGCTGCGGCGGCGGAGACCCAAGAGAAACGAGGCCAGCGGAGAACGGCATGGTTGATGCCATGGATGAGGAGTTGCGAAGCTCTGTTAACTGCCGGTCATGCAGAAATAAAATGGTGCTGTCTACGGAATTCAGAAGTAATTAGGAGCACAGAGTGGCAACAGAAAGAGGGATGGCTCCATGTTCAGCGGAGGTTATCTTTGCATGATCGCTGAAAATGTATCTACCTTGGGATCAAATTGGTTATTGGGCAGTCAAATTTGTGGCAAAAGCAAAATACAGGCAAGGTTGGTGTGATGGCCATGCACATAGCGCCGGATAAGCCCGTACCGCATGGGAAGTTGAGTCCGTGTACTGTGCGAAAACATGAACTGCATGTTTACACGGTATACATATTCCGGATAGTGAAAAAAAGAAAGAACTGCATATTGCTCAGATGCTAACATGGTAGATGATTTTTGCAGAAGAATATAAGAACTCAAAGCATGGGCATGCACATTTGGAAGGTTAACTTACATTTGCTTCCGAAATGGAGAATACCAGGCTATGAAGCAGGGCCAAAATTATATTTTACAACATGTGCTGCATATGTAACTTTATTTCCCAACTAGCAAATTCAGTTTATGCGATTCAGAAATCCAGGTTCCACATTCAGGCACGTGAAAAACACACGGTTACACTATGATTTACTGTATAGTTAGAGAATAAATAACAATACCTTGTGCAGACAAAGAAATTGCAACTATCTTGTTATTATTCTGCCTAGACCTGCTTAGGGCCAGTTTGGTTTGGGGGTATTTCTCAAAGAAGTTTTGTTAAGAAAAGAATAAAAAGTAAGTTGTACTAGCTCAAAATTAAATGAACGCTCGAAGATTGCACCATAAAATTTCAAAGTAACATTATTTTTATATTTATTTGAAGAAATTGCTGTAGGGTTTTCAAAGTCTCCCATCAATTTGGTTTGAGCTAGAGCGTATGCTGCTACAGTCACCTCTATAAGGCAGTACTTGAATGTTACCTTCATGAAATCAATGGACAACATGTAGAAGTTCTCAAAAATAGGCACCGATGTGCTCGATGAGCAACTACCATTAAACAAAGCATCTATTGTCTCTTTGCTGTATGAATTCTGGTAATTTTAACTACATAACAAATCTCCTAAAAAAATTACACATTACCCAAACAACTGCAGGATTTTTTTGGGTCTGAAAACCTGGACTTGCAAGAGAAACTTCCACCGTTCCCAACAAATTTATGTTTTTATAGTTAGTATATTGCAAGAGAAAGACAGGATTGTATTGATTGACTTGTTAATTGACTCTGCAATCCCTCCCCCTATTCTCCAACCCAAATTGCATAACAAAATGGTGCATGTTTACAGTACACATTAATCCCCAAACAAGCTACAATATCATCCACGCACACATTCCACTATACCAGCAGGTAAAATAAAGCGATATCTTTGGAGAACTAACCTGGGCAAGGCTCTAATTAAGAATCTGGCATACAGAAACTAAGGGTAGATACATGTTTACATGGTATACATGTTCCAGATAGTCAAGAAATCAAAAAAACTGCAGCTTGCTCAGCTGCTAACATGATAGATGATTTTTGCAGAAGAATATAATAACTCAAAGCATGGGATGCACATTTGGAAGGTTAGCTTACATTTCTTTACAGCTAAAAGAAATGTAAGATACTTCCGAAATGGAGAATACCGGGCCATGAGGGGCCGAAATAATATTTGCTCGATAAACTGGACAACCTTTACAACATGTTTTGCTTCATTATATGTAACTTTATCTCCCAACTAGCAATGAGGAATTCAGTTTATGCAGTTGAGAAATTCAGGTTCCACATTCAGGCACATGAAAATTGTTGATAGTGGTAAATAGAAGCCGTAGGAATTTCCCCATCTATATACATTCGAACCGCTCTTCGTCATATTTCACTCTTCTAGAGAGAATAGCAACTTGTATTATTAGGAGGCCAATGCCAACATATATACACATACATGAGGATGCCAAAAGGCTACAAGAGGATGCCAAAAGGCTAGAATGCAAAAGGCCAAAAGACATCACTGAATATAACTCTAACACCCCCCCTCAAACTCATGGTGGATCCACAACACTGAGTTTGGAGAGGTGAAATCCATGTTGCGCTCTAGTCTGGGCCTTCGTGAAGAAGTCCGCTAGCTGTAACTCAGAAGGCACATACTGAAGAGCAACAACATGATCCTGCACAGCAGCGCGCACAAAAGAAGCATCAACACCAATGTGTTTGGTAAGCTCATGCTTCACGGGGTCCCGCGCAATACTGATAGCACCTGTGCTGTCTGACAGGAGGGTGGTAGGTGTAGTAACAGAAACACCAAAGTCCTCTAGTAACCATCGTAACCAAGTCACCTCAGTCGTCAAAAGAGCCATAGCTCGCAACTCGGCCTCTGCACTCGAACGAGAAACTGCAGTCTATTTCTTCGTCTTCCAGGAAATGAGGGAACCACCAAGAAAGACACAGTAGGCAGAAAGTGAACGGCGATCCGTAGGATGACTAGCCCACGTAGCATCCTAATAGGCCTGGAGCTGTAACGAGCTGGAACGGGGGAAAAAGAGACGATGAGAGATCATGCCACGAAGATATTGTAGAACACGAAGAAGGTGACTATAGTGAACTGAAGTGGGAGCAGAAACAAACTGACTCAGAATATGGACAGGATAAGAGATATCGGGACGAGTGACAGCAAGATACACAAGACTCCCAACAAGATGACGATAACGTGTCGGATCAGACAAGGGCTCACCATCAGAAGCACGAAGGTGAACATTGAGCTCCATAGGAGTCTCAGCAGTGCGCTCATCACTAAGAGGGGCACGAGTAAGAAGGCCCTGGATATACTTCTCTTGGGAAATAAAAAAGCCAGCACAGGTGGAGGAAACCCCAATCCCAAGAAAGTAGCGAAGAGGACCAAGATCAGACATAAGGAACTGCTCATTAAGACGTGCCTTGACAAAGGCAATGTACTCAGAATCGTCGCCAGTGATGATCATGTCATCAACATATAGAAGAAGAAGAGTGCGACCATGAGCAGAAAGGTGGACAAACAACGCTGGATCATGATCACTAGGTGAAAAACCAGCAGCAGTGACCACAGAGGCAAAACGCTCAAACCAAGCGTGAGGGGCTTGCTTAAGGCCATAGAGAGAGCGACGAAGACGACAAACCATGCCATCGGGAACTGAATACCCAGGTGGTGGCTGCATATAAACCTCCTCATGCAACTCACCATTAAGAAAAGCATTTTTAACATCAAGTTGTGACACGGACCAGTGGCGAACAGAGGCCACGGCGAGAAGTGTGCGGACAGTGGTCATATGGGCCACAGGAGCAAATGTCTCATCATAATCACGACTATGCTCCTGCTGAAAGCCACGAGCCACAAGACGAGCTTTATAACGCTCGAGAGAACCATCAGAGCGAGTCTTAATCTTATAGACCCACTTACAAGTGATGGGACGAACACGGGGAGGAAGAGAAACCAGATCCCATGTGTTGTTGCGCTCAAGTGCGGCAATCTCCTCTGCCATCGCAAACTGCCATTCGGGGTGAATAACAGCATCATGATAAGAGGTAGGCTCAAGTACAACTGAAAGGCCATATAGGCTAGGAGAATAGCGGTCAGGAGGAGGGCAAGGTCGAGCCCGAAGACCATAAGTCGGCTGGGACGAGGAAGACGGTGCACCAGAAGTAGATGGCACGTCAGTAGATTCATCCATAACACGTCGACGACGGGTATAATGAAAAGGAAAAGTGGGATGAGAAGGAACCACCAGAGGTGATGGAGATGGAGAAGACATCGGTGATGAAGGTGGAGTGTCATGCAATAAGGAAGGAGAAGAAACAATAGGAGAAGATGGTGTCGGATCTGCAATAGTGGGACGAGAAGGAGTAGGAATACGAGGCATAGAGGGGGATGTATCAGGAAACGTGAGAAAAGAGATATCCTCTACTGAAAAGGTCGAAGAGGATGGTCTTGGGTAGAATGGACGAGACTCATCAAAAGTCACATCCCTAGAAATACGCATCCGTCGACCGACAGGATCCCAACACCGATAACCCTTATGTTCATCACTATAGCCCAGAAAAACACACTCGACAGACTGAGCGGTTAGTTTGGTGCGTTCTCAGGGGGCAAGGAGAACATAACAAAGACAACCAAACAACCGAAGAGCAGAATAATCAGGAGAATGATCAGAAAGACGCTCTAGAGGAATACCTCCCTGTAGAGCAGATGAGGGTTGAATGTTTATGAGATATGTGGCAGTGGAGACAGCCTCAACCCAGAAATGAGGTGGAAGAGAGGCGGAAATCATCATCGCACGAGCTGTCTCAAGAAGGTGACGATGCTTGCGCTCAGCCACGCCATTCTGAGCGTGAGCACCGGGACAAGAGAACTGAGGAAGAGTACCCTGCTCAGCAAGAAAACCACGCAACATTTTGGAGATATACTCGCCAGCAGAATCAGCACGAAACACGCGAATAGGTGTAGAGAACTGAGTGTGGACCATGGCGGCAAACCGCTTATAAATAGAGAGAACCTCGCTACGAGAAGACATGAAGTAAAGCCAAGTGTAGCGAGAGAAATCATCTATAAAAATAATATAGTAGCGATGCCCCCCTTTAGAAGAGAAGGGAGCCGGACCCCACACATCCGAATGTACTAAATCAAAAGGGCGCTGAGACATTGACTCGCTAGTAGGATAAGGTAACTAAACTTGTTTACCAAGCCTACAACCCTGACACTGTAAGGAGACATCTCCTGAGACAGGCCCCAGAAGACCACGACGAACTAAAGATGATAGTCGAGAACCACAAAGGTGACCAAGTCGATGATGCCACTGCTGGAAGGAGCTGGTAGCTGAAGCGGCGAAGGCAGATGGACTGGCGAGTCTGGTGGCAGCGGAAGGAACATTAAGCCAGTCCAACTCCCAAAGCCCCTGAGAATCATGGCGGCGCGGGCCAGCCCCAACCAGAGCCTTCGTGTGGCGATCCTGGATAGTGCAAGA